AAAGCAAGGCCAGCTGCATCCTGCAGAAATGCGGGTCAGCTGAAAAGTGTAATATGCACTTGAAAAAGTTAACTGTACTAATTCAATAGCAGGGTCAGATTGGGAGTGTTTTTTGCTGACTGCTCCCACGAGTTTTGTTGACAGCACTAACCTACGTATTTATTATCACACGTAAGCAAAGTTACCAGCTGCCTAAGCCTTCTCGTCCAAATTGGTGCCCCTGCACTTTCGCAGCACCACTCAGACGGGCAAGGTCACTGCTGCTTCCCCTCCTTCCTTGAGAGGCTCCAGCAGCAGCAGCTATGTTAAGCAGGTGGATGGAAGCTACTAGCCTTATTAGCAACTGGGGCTAATAGCCTGATTTCTAAGGCTTAGGAGGAAAAAACAGCTTTCCCAATTGCCCTTACCCATTGCTATCTCCTCCTCCAACAAAAGAAATTGTTTTTTCTCCCAGAATAACCGAGTCCCACTGCCAAGGCAGCTTTGTTGCCTTGCTGTTAAAGAAGCATTTTTCAAAGCTCTGTGATTTTTCTGAAGCATCTTGCATTCCATGAAACTGTCTCCATCTCACAAAGGGCAGGTTACAAAGCAGAACAGGACCTAAGGTGACCTTTAACTATCACAGATTTTATCACCCCTCAAAGCCAAACCTGCTGTTTGGGCTGTTCTCTGAATACAAGCCTCATGACCTGGAGTCCGTTTCTTGCTCCTTTAGGATGATTTTCCATAGTACCCTTATCTGCCATGAAAATCCACTGACAGCCAGTCTGTGCTGACATCAGAGCTCCAGCTATTCCTACCACAAAGCAGAACTCCTTGAGTAAACAGCATTATTGCTTTGGGAATTCAAGCTGGCCTTAGGTGACACTGTCCATTTTTCACATGGTCCTCCAGCCACTTCACCTGACATGTAGCAGTTAGAAGATGGGGGAAAAGCTCACCCCCTTCAACTCTCCCTCATGTCTAACAGACCTTGCCCTTTCTTAAGCAGGAGGAAGGCATACCATTCCTCTTAAATAATCCCCCCCCCATTAGCACAAGTGAATGAAACAGATTACTTTTTCCTCAGCCTCAAATTAGCTTGAAAATTCTACCTGTTTCAGACTTAAGGACTTAACTACCTTAGAGTTTATTAGTTTTTCCAGCAATACCTTTGGCTCTAATAAGAGGTGTTGCCTTTCCCATCAAGCATTGCCTTATATAATTAAAGCTCACTCCTGTATTTTATACCATGATAACCATGAATGTTTTTTGGAACCATTAGCCCCTCAAGGGAGGAAGAGGAAAAAGCATTAAATGGCACATTTTCAACAGACAGCTATCGGTCATCGCTTGCACAGTCAGCTCTGCTGTGTCTTGAATCTCGTGTCTCTTACTTTGTCCTTTCAGAGCTCCCTGCTGCTCTTCCCCTTGAAGTCCAAAAGTTTCTAACTTTTGAGCTTCTGTTAATAAAACTGTATTTTAAAATTCCTGTTAAAACCATCAAAAAGTGTAGCTTCTTGCTAAATTACTTAACACATTTTAGTCAAAACCTCTAGAAATTAAATAGCTAAATAGCTTCCATTTCCAGGCTTGCCCCCCCCCTTTTTTTTTTTAAAAAAAAAAAAGA